AAGGGAGCCCTTTCCACTGTTGAGCAGCTCTTATCATTAATATGAATGGAGGGCAGGGACAGAGGAACGGAGCCAAAGATTTCTGTTTCCTGGAACAGACGTCTAGTCTCCATGCTGCTGAAGCCACTATTCCATGTTGCAGGGACCCAAGTGGCAAGCGATAATGTCCGCACAGAACGGGGGTGGGGAACCTGTGGCTGTGGGCCAGTCTTGGCCTGCCAGGGGGTAGGATTTGCCCCATGAGCAGAAGTAAAATCCTGCTCAGTTTGGCAGGACTTAATGTTCCGGATTCAGGAGGGGATTTGCTCCTGAATGAAGGGCTTCCCCTGGAGATGAGGAAGAAGCAGTTTGCCAGCTTCCCCAAGCGCTGAGTGCAAGGCAGGCCGTGCCCCTTGTGCTGCAGTTCCCAAGAGGCTGCGCACCTGCTGGGTGCTTGGAAACCCCCTCAAGGGCTTTTGGAAGGTGGGTGGGATTGACAGGTGGGCTATCCTATGATGTCAGCTTCAGCCTCCTGCCCCTTTTGGCCCCTGGGGACAATCCTGATCAGGATCTGGCCCTGAAGCCAAAGAGATTCCCCACCTGTGAGACAGAATACTGGAGGTGGAAGGAGCCTTGCCAAAGGGGTCAGCCTGAGTGTGTCCAGAGCCCTCTGGGGGCTTCGTTGGCCTTGTCAGGCTTGCAAGGAAGAAACCCAGGGGGTCAGCTGAGACCAAGCCAGCGCTGCAATGGGCAGGTCTGCTTTTCTTGCGGTGGGATCAGGCCTGGCCTTGCCTTGCAGGCTTCCTCTTGGGCCCCTGTGACTTCTGCTTCTCCCCCTTTTAAAAATGGGGATTGGGCCCCTCCTGAGCCCCTGCACCTATCCATGGAAAATGCCCCATAAATGTCACCAAGGGGCGCCTCTCGGTTCCTGAACATTTCTTCCAATTGCTTAGCTCAGAAAATCCCAATCTAATGAGATGGCCACTTCAAAGGTGCCACGGACAGCCCCGGAAATGTTATCTGATTCTATTTAAAAACAATGTTGAAGGTATAGGTGTAGCACTGTTACAATCATTCTACCTGCCAGAGGGAGCAATTTCCCTTCTTCTCCCCCTGCACACCTTTCTGGGGCTTCTCCCGACCCCCCGTATATTGATTTCTGCGGAAGGAGATGGGGAGAAAGCCCCAGTTGTGTGAGTGAGACTTGTTCCTTCTGGCTCCCGCTAGACTAACTGTGTTAGCTGAATCCAGCCCAGAAAAGCAGTATTTCCTTCAAGAGAGGCTGCTCTCATCCAAGGCTTTATATGCCCCAACTCAGTTCAGCTGTGAGCCAAAGGCTCCTGAGGTGAAAGAGGAAGCCAGAATTAAAGAAAAGCACTGTGAAAAAACTAAGAAGTATTGTCTAAAGAGAAGGAAATTAAGGATATAAATAATGTCAATATAAATTATGAAATGCGTATCGAAAATAATGACTACGGATGATTTTGGGGGAAGCTGAAGGAAGTCCAGAAAAGAAGTAATTTGTGAAAATTGGATGTGAAATTTTGTTTGTTTTGTTGTAAATTAATAAAAATCATTAAAAAAAAGAAAGTTATAAAAAAATCTGGAAAAAATCCATAGAATTTACATAAAACATCAATAAAGACTATTTATTTATTTAATAAAATAAATACACTTCTTGATTGTAAAAAACCCTCAGTAAAATTAAGAAAAACTCACAACCATACTTTAAAACACAGAGATGTTAAACTACTAAAACAGATTAGAAACACCTCAACTTTATAAGCATCTGGGTAGGCTTGTATAAAATTTTTTTAGCAGTTGGCAAAAATTCAGTATTTATTGAACGTGAGACCTATGGCAGGTGGTTGACTACTATTATATTTAGAGTAGACCTATGGAAATCAGTGCACTAAAATTAGAAACGCCAAATCACTTCAGTGGGTCTACTCTGAGTAGGTGTAGCATGAGATAGCACCCCAGATCTTTGATGATGAATCCAGTCCAAGTGCCCCCTCTGAAAAGTGAGCTGTGGGGAAACTGCTCTGTCTGAATGTCCGGCTCCCCAGGCTGCCTTTGGCTGAGATACTGGCAGACATGCTGTGCCCCCTTCTTTCCCCTGTGCCCCCAGGAGACCCCTTGCCAGGACACAGACTCCTGGTCTCTCCTCCTCTCTCCTGCGCTTCTGGATGCGGCCCTTGCAGGAGCCGAGGGAGGTGGGGCAGGGAAGGGGCACTCAGCTCTGGGGGGCAAAGAGCAGCCAAGCAAGGTCTGTCCTCCAGCTCTGTCCTCTCCCCAGGAAAGCTCCCAGCTCTTCTCAGCATAGACTGCCCTGATGGTGCTGAGCATCAAAGGGAAGAGGCATGGCCTTTTGAAAAGCAACAAGTTGGCTTAACGTCAGCATTTAATTATTTTCACCAGGAGCAAAGAATTTCGTATATAGCCAAAGTGTGTTTAGGCACACATTTACAAACATCTGTTCCATCACAGTTACCTTTCAGTTGTCCTTGAACCTGGGTTCAAATCCCACATCAATTGCTTAATATATACAGTGGTACCTTGGTTCTAAACCACAGAGCCTAGGGCTTGCCAATCAGAAGGTCAGCAGTTCAAATCCCCGGGAGCTCCCGTTGCTCGATCCCTGCTCCTGCCAACCTAGCAGTTCGATAGCACGTCAAAGGGCAAGTAGATAAATAGGTACCGCTAGGCGGGAAGGTAGACGGGGTTTCCGTGCGCTGCTCTGGTTTGCCAGAAGCGGCTACGTCATGCTGGCCACATGACCCGGAAGCTGTACACCGGCTCCCTCAGCCAGTAAAGCAAGATGAGCGCCGCAACCCCAGAGTCGTCTGTGACTGGACCTAATGGTCAGGGGTCCCTTTACCTTTACCTTGGTTCTCAAGCTTAATCCTTTCCAGAAGTCTGTTCCAAAACCAAAGAGTTCCAAAACCAAAGCACACCATAGAAAGTAATGCAAAACAGATTAATCTGTTCCAGACTTTTAAAAACAACCCCTAAAACAGCAGTTTAACATGAATTTTAATATTTAACGAGACTATTGAGCCATTGAAAGCAATAATCAATGTACTGTACTATAAAATAAATAAGACAGCATTGTAGATGATGATGATAATAATAATAATAATAATAATAATAATAATAATAATAATAATAATAATAATTTCTTACCTGCACTGATTATAAACATTGTTTGGGGGCTTTTATTCATTTCCGCAGTCAAACAATCAATCAGTTGCTGAACTGGGTTCCACACAGTCACACAAAAAAAATTTTAACCAAAAAAGTCTCAAAAACAAAAATTCAAAATAAATAGCAAAAACAAATACAGTTGTACCTTGGTTCTCAAACTTAATCCATTCTGGAAGTCAGTTTGACTTCTGAAATGTTCGAAAACTAAAGTGCGACTTCTGATTGGTGCAGGTGCCCCGCAAACAATAGCCGACAGCTGCATTGCGCGGAAGGCTAGTGTCCCTATTCCATATTCCACAGGGAGATGGGGGTTCCCACAGGGATGCCGGCTGTCAGCCCCCCTTTCTCCTTGCAGCCTTTCAGAATCCATCCGGTTGTCTGGACTGCTCACTCCACCTGCTGGGGGGCTGATAGAGAACGGGGCCCCACATCTGGCAGTTGCTCTTCTTAAAAACCTGCCTTACCCCATGGAACTGACCTCCAGGAAAGAGTCCCTCAAGAAGAGAGTTCAGAAATGGGCTAGTCCCACTGTGTGGGCAGCCAGGATCACAAACAGATTTTATTTTATTTTATTTCACAATTGTAACTGCCTGATCCTCTGCATGTTTACTTGGAAGTAAGTCCCACCCCATTCAGTGTGACTTAGCTTCAAGTAAATATGCAAAGAGAAATATATGTAACATGTAATGAGAGGTTCAAAATGATCTGTCCCATTTAAGGATTATGGGACTACAAAATGATTCATTCAGAAGGCAACACAACTAAAATGAAATTTGGAGGGGGATAATGGGGGATAACTTGTTTTAATGTTGTTGTTGTTTTGAAGATTTGGTGGTAGCCCCCTGGGGTGGGCAGGGGGATGCAGGGACCCCCCATCTTTGACAAGGGCAGCCTGGCTTCTGCTGAGAAGGGGGGCCATTTTGAAGTGGGGCAACCCCCCCTTGCGGCTTCCCTTTCCCTCCCAGGCCATGAGGAAACTTCTTTTTCCAAAGGCCCTTCCATGACTTTCCTCCTTTAGGGAAAAGGTCCTTGATATTGAGCAGCTGGGGGGAGAGAGATGGAGGGGAAGAGGAGACCTTCTCTCTTGAAAGGGCCCCCAATGTGTGTGGGTGTCCCCCTTCCATGTTGCCCCTTTCCTCTTTCTGGGGGGGGATGGGGGACAGCTGAGGCGACTCTCCAAAAGGGGCAAGATCCTGAGGAGGACCTGCAATGGAGCCTCTTGTTGAACAGGAAGGGAAACCCCACCCCTCCCCCACCTCCAGGGAGTTGGGAGAATCCGCTATGAATTGGGAGGGGGGAGAAAGTGTGAGGCGATGATGAAGAAGAAGAGTTTGGATTTGATATCCCGCCTTTCACCCCCCTTCGGGAGTCTCAAAGCAGCTAACATTCTCCTTTCCCTTCCTCCCCCACAACAAACACTCTGTGAGGTGAGTGGGGCTGAGAGACTTCAGAGAAGTGTGACTGGCCCAAGGTCACCCAGCAGCTGCATGTGGAGGAGCGGGGAAGCGAACCCAGTTCACCAGATTACGAGACTACCGCTCTTAACCACTACACCACACTGGCTCTCTTGATGAGACGGGGGGGGCAATTAAAGGGGGGCTTTACAGGCTCAGGATGGTAGTGTTTCCCCCATGAACGTGTTGTGCAGATGAGCCTTCAGAAAGATACAATGCTGGTTGATTTTTCTCCCCTCTGACTGCTGCCTCTTCCCTGAGTCTGAGGGAAATAAATCCTTTTTCCTGGGCTCTTTTGCTGATGGGGGAGGGGCTGCTCTGACCCCCCCTGACCTCCTGGGCCTCTTTTGGTCCTTCCAGGGATCCACACCCTTCAGTGGATGTACGGCTGTGAGCTGAGTTCAGACGGGCGCAAAGGAGGAGGGTATTGGCAGTTTGGCTACAATGGGAGAGACTTCATCGCCTTCGACAAGGAGACCCTCACCTGGACGGCAGCCCAGACGGAGGCCCAAGTGAGCAAGAGGAAGTTGGATCCTGACTTGGCCAGGAACCAGTACTGGAAAGCCTACCTGGAGGAGGAATGCATTGAGTGGTTGCGGAGATACCTGGACTTTGGGAAGGAGACTCTGCTGAGGACAGGTGAGGGGGGGCAGTGGGGAGGGGAGGGGGGCCTCAGTGGGGCAGTTTCCCTTCAAGCTCCCCTCCTTCCCCCTTTACAATCTTCCTTTCTGGACCAAACAGCACTTTTCTTGGTGGGGGAGGCAGAAATAAGTTTGGGACTCTGGGAGGAGAAAAGGGGTCACTTCAGAGTATGTTTGGGGGGAGAGATGCTTAAAAACAGCCCCCATGCCCCTTTGGCTAGAATAAGGGATGGCAAAAGACAAATGAGGGAGGGGGCACAAAGAAACAGCAGGGAAGGGGCCAGGAAAGCAAAATGCATTTTAAATTAAGTAAAAAAAGAAAATTGAAATGGACAGATTTGAGGCGGGATACAGAAAAACCTTTTGCCTTTACACTTGGGTAGGGGAAAGTGGGGCAGATTGATGCAGAAAAATTCAATCTCATATTTTATGTACCAAAATGAGTCAAATAATTTTAAAAAATGCTTTATGCATGGCATAACTAATCAATATTATAATAGCAATCAAAAGAACAATTAAAGTTAGAAGATAATGAGAATATAATGACTTGAGTAAAAAATGGGTTTTGTATGATTGTGCCCCACCTATGGGGCACTTTGATACAAAGCGTACATTGTATGAGAATGGTAATTATTTACAAAAATTGAATGAAAAAAACAATTTTTATTGTGAGAGATCATAATTAGCCCTACAATTTGTTACTTAAAAATCTAAATTACGTATCAAAACTAACAGTGTTTCACACATATCATAGACTTTATGGGAGGTTTTCTTAACAAAACATCAAAACTTAGATTAATCTTTCCTCAAACACCTATCCATTTTAAAAAAACTTCAGAAAAACTTTAAAAAGTATAAGAACTCACATCAGGTAGTCAAAAAATAGTAATTTAAACAAAATGCTTATAAAAAATAAGATATTTCCTTAACATTTAGCTTCAATTGCACATTATATCCACTGAAGTCAAAAGAAAAAGTATAGAGAGTTGATGTTCAAGATGTGCTCTTTGAGAAATTTGGTTCTGGGAACTGCAAAACAACATCCTTGAACTCAATGCTTGCCTTATCTTCTAAAATGGGGAAGACAAACATACAAGATGTTGGATATATCCTGAGATATGACACTTGATAATCTGTCATTTTATATTTAGAAATGACTTTGGCCACGTAGTAAACAACAGGTTTTTTCTTTTCAAATTTCATGAGTAGGAAATCAGTTTAGAGATTTCATGCAAACTTGTATATTGGGGCACTATTGTACACTAGCGGGGCACTTTTATACGTATCAATGTACCCCATGTCTTAGTGTATCAAAGTGCCCGAACGGACATTTTCAGAAAATAACAATTATTAATAAAACCACTGAACTTACTTAAATATCACGTGTAATCCTGATTACTGAGTGGGATAATTTACCTTTAGTATTTTAAAATCTTAGCTAAATGACGGAAAACAGCACTGGAACACTTTAACATTTCACGTAATTATTTAGTTGGCTGCGCCAAAAACACACCTCTCGCCAAACGCCAATGGAGAACTGGTGGGCAGTGCGGTCGCAACTGTCATACTCACACATGTATAGACACGTTTTAGCGATGTCGCAACACGAATAACGTTTCTAGACATTGAAATATTGTGGGTGTATCAATGTGCCCCGCCTCCCCCTACATACCTATGGGGAAAGTCTTTAAAACTAAATTAATTAACCTTTTTTAAAAATAGAAAATGTGTGGGGAGCCCATGAAATATGGATGCAGCCCCCTCATTAAGTCTGTAGGTTAGCCACTCGTGGCCTAGAAGCAGAAAACCTGCACATAGTGAGAGAGTATGGGAATTCCCTCTTCTACCTTCTTATATCTTTTATTTTTGAGGAATTTTACTTTTTTCAGTCCACTCTTCTGCCTTCAGGAATCTGGCACAGGGGCCAATCAAATGATCAAGTGTTTTGACTGGCTTTCTTCCTGTCTCTATTAACTTTGCTAATATGAACATTAATTAAAAATGAAATAATTCTAGCACCCTCCCTTTTTGAGGACTGACACATACGTATTAGCCGTGCTTAGAGACATCTGAGCAAATTCATCTATGGGGCCTGGTGATAATTCACCCCAGAGACACTGAGAATATTTCTTGAGGTTGAGGATTTCGCTCCAAAAGCCACACTGAAGTGTTTTCAAGGGTGACAACGTGCAAAGGAGGCTGGGAATCATCCTCTTTGGAATGGAGGTTCTGCTGAGGAAAGGTGTTGGGTGGGGAGGTCTTGTTTGGGGTTTTTGTGGGGAAAGGGCTTGACCTTCCTTCCTTCCTGCTCCCCCCAGCAGAGTCACATCCCCTCCTAGACCCGAGTTAACCAGTCCAGGCACTGCAAAGTGGGTGGGATCCTGGAACAGCCCCTTCAGACAACAGCTACCCAGGGAGCCAGGTTTTGAACAAGGGTTACATTCTGTGAATCGTGCCTAAAGCCAAAATGGTGTATAGTCAAAACACATTGGATTCAAGGGCGATTGGGTTTGCCAAAGTCCTTCTTCCCCAGACGCCTGCCTCCTCTTTTTGGTTTTTGGAATATTTTTGGCAACTGCGTAAAGCTGTATGTGCTCAAGTTAAATGTGTGCAAGTTGCTGGCTTACTGGGCCTCCTGGTCTGCCCTTTCCACTCCAGGGGAGGCTGCCGTGGAGAAGGGAGATGGGCCCTTTCCAACCTCAAGGGACCCTTTCAGGGCAGGCGGGGAGAACTAGAAAGGAGCTCTGTCTTTCCCAGGGCTGTTGGCTTTGTTCACTAACTATTGGGCTGAAAAGTCCCGGAGAACAGAGAGCAGTGAGTCCAGCATTTGTTCCCCCTCAAGAGAGGAACCAGAATCAGTCTTAGCTGCCCTCAGTTCATGACTTGCAACGTTGAAGGAACAGAATGAATCCCGCCATTGGGGACCTGGTGAAATTTGCCCCTCAGCCTAGAGGCAGCTCCCTGGGACAATCTTGGAACCACAAGTTGTCAAATTTGAGTAGTGTTAGAGCTTTGCAAGATGACAAATTACCGTATTTTTTGCACCATAACACTCACTTTTTTCCTCCTAGAAAGTAAGGGGAAATGTCTGTGCGTGTTATGGAGGGAATGCTTACGGGTGGCATGCCTACGGATTTTCCTTCTCTAAAAACTACATGCGTGTTATGGTCGGGTGTGTGTTATAGAGCGAAAAATACGGTAATTAAATTGATTACCCAGCCCTCCATCCCAAAGGAGTCTGCTTTGGCAAACAAAGGATAAAACATCTGAAAACAGTTCCACCATAGACACTGACTGGGGAAAATGCCAAGGCAGGTTGAGGAAATCCCATTTATTCACAGTTATTTTTAATTTCTGGAGATGTGAGATTCTGACTAAGTTTCCCCTTGGGTCCCTGCTCCTCTGCTCTTAAAAAATACAGGATTCCTTCAGGCTCCCGTTGTGGATGTCTCTCTGTTAACCCCAATGCGGCCCTTTTTGCAGAGGCTCCGGTGGTGAAGGTGACCAGGAAGGCAGACTATGACGGCCTGGAGACCCTCGTTTGCCAAGTCCACGGCTTCTACCCCAAGGAGATTGAGGCCAACTGGGTGAAGGACGGGGAGGTCTGGCAGGAGGGCACCCTCCGAGGATTGGTCGCCCCCAACTCGGACGGGACCTACTATCTCTTGCTCAGCGTCCAGATCGACCCCGAGGAGAGGGAGCGCTTCCGGTGCCGCGTGGATCACGACAGCCTGGAGAAGCCTCTGGACGTGGCCTGGGAGAAGGAGCCTGGTGAGAGACAGACAGACAGACAGACAGGAGGGGAAGGGGTGGGCTCTGGGAGGGGGGTTTCCACCCAACTCCTCCCTCCAGCAGCAGCACAGCTCAGAAGGGGAACCCCAGTTGGATCCTGTCTATGTCTCTGGGGGCAAGCGACTGAATTGGAATCTGTAGATTTCAGCAGAGATGCAGCCTTTTTTGGCAAGTGTCTCATAGGCCTTGAACTCAAATTGGAGGTAAAACTGGCTGCCACCTTTTTGCCTTTAAGCCCAAGCAGTTGTGATGTCACAGAATGTGACCAGATGTGTTATTTCTCCAAAATCAAACGACCTCCTCCACATGACATGGCTGACTTACTCACACTCCCTGCAACTGAAAAAGGGGCAACAAACTTAAAAGAGGGAGCCCCGGACTGACTGTACTTCACAGTGAAAAAGATTCTCACTTGCTCCTCCTCACACTCAGGCCCAGCTACAAAAACTGATACACATCTCCACTCAGCCCAAACATCCGCACACCGCTGTCAAGAGCAAGCAGGGTTTCTAGTAATGCTTGTCTCTCACACACCGCCTGGAAAGCCACGCTTTCAGGAACCAAAGCAGAATGTCTAAGAGCCAGACTCCCTTTTCCCCAGCAGGAGCACATGAACGCACATCCCCACCCACAGCCCAGACTCTCCTTCTCACAGGCAGGCAAGCGAGGATCATGGAAGCGGCCCCTGAGCCAAAGACTCACACAGGCAGGGCAGAGGGGACCAGGGCTCACTCACTAGTGCTGCGGACTCCAGAGATTCTACACAAACAAGAAAACCTGGACATTTTGCCTCATTTAAAAAAATTGTCTGGACAGACATTTTATGTCTGAAAAAGAAGACGTGTCCAGGAAAAACCGGGCGTATGGCATCCGTATACAAGATGCTTCTTCCTAAGGGTTTGTGTCTTCCCTGAAGGCCTGTAATGCTGGGCTCTGGGGGGTCTCAGAGGGGAGGGAATCCCTTCCTCTCAGGGTCCTGACAGAGAAGGCTGAAGCGCCTGAGCAGGAGGAGACCTGCTTTTAAGTCTGGAGTCTGTGATGAAACAGGTGTGCCTGTCAACTGTCTTCCTTAAATGAACTGGTTATTTTAAAGACCTCTAATGCTTTACTCTGGTGGAAAAAAACTCCCTTGTGTTGGGGCCACTACAGAGAGGACCTTGGCCTGTGAGGAGAGAGAGAGGGCCTGCTTTGCACACGTAAAATCCTCCCGGGCTCATAGCTCAGCACCTCCACTCCAATCTCCTGCTTGAGGCCTTGGGGAGCTGCTGCCACCAGTCTGAATAAAAATGTCTCTTGTCCCCTTTTAGTCAACCTGGGGCTCATTGTGGGTGTTGTGGCTGCTATCCTGTTGGTCTCTGGGATCTTTGGGATCATCATCTTCTTCATTCGCAGTAAGTAAACCCTGGATGCGTTTGCTGCCTCTCCTGTGTCCTTCTGTCTCGGCCTCCGACTGGGAATGTGCTGGTGGGGCTTCCTGGCAACTGCAACTGGCATCCCTACAGAGACCCCTCCTCATAAAGCACCCTTTGAACATGAACCAAAAGTCCTGTTGGTCATTGCTTTGTACTCACTCTGCTCAGGAAATTCACTTCCCACCTGATGTTTTAATCAATCCTAAGCCTTCAATCATGTACACACTTACCAGGGAGCCTTATTTACAAATCTTTAGGTGCCAGGCAAAAGCATTTCTCTCTAACCAGGCCTTTGGCCTTTTAAATGTGTTTGTGGGAGCAGAGTTACTGGTTTGTTTTTGCTTTATTATGTATTTTGTGCTCTCATTTTGTATTTTTATGTTGCAAACTGCCCTGTCATCTTAATTAAATGAATAAATAAATATTGATCTGGGAGGATTCTGTATTGAACTGAATAGGACATTCCTCTGAGCAGACTTGCCTAGAATTGCACTGTTAAAGTTCATTATCTCTTCCGCCCCACCTCTCTGGGCAAATTTGAGGATTAGGGGTCTGCTAGGAATGACGCGGGTGGCGCTGTGGGTTAAACCACAGAGCCTAGGACTTGCTGATCAGAAGGTCAGCGGTTCAAATCCCCGTGACGGGGTGAGCTCCCGTTGCTTGGTCCCTGCTCCTGCCAACCTAGCAGTTCGAAAGCACATCAAAGTGCAAGTTGATAAATAGGTACCGCTCCGGCGGGAAGGTAAACGGTGTTTCCGTGCGCTGCTCCGGTTCACCAGAAGCGGCTTAGTCATGCTGGCCACATGACCCGGAAGCTGTATGCCAGCTCCCTCGGCCCATAGAGCGAGATGAGCGCCGCAACCCCAGAGTCGGTCACGACTGGAACTAATTTTCAGGGGTACCTTTATCTTTACCTTTAGGAGTGAAATAATAATCTGAAAAGGAATAAGTGAAGGGATTGGATAATGTTTCCTTCCACTCTCTTGGAATTTGTCCACTGCCTGGTTCCCATGTTGTTGTTGTTTTATTTAATTTTCTCAATTTTTTCTACTTCGTAAAATGAGCTCCTTGAAAAGATCTGCTTCTGGGCTCACCTTCCTTGGACGTGTTTGGAAGAGACAGGAGAAGCATCTGCTGGGAAGGTTTTGGCATCTGAGAGCCAAATGGTTGGAATGGGATTTGAGTGGCCTCTGGAGGTCCCTTCCAGCTCTGACCTTCTGCTTTTGTCTTCACAGGGAAATCAGCCTATGAAGAAACCCCAAGTGAGTGACTCCTCCCCTCTCTCTTTCTGATATATTTCCCCCCCAATATGGAGCAGGAACAGGTTACAAACAGACAAAACTAAACCTGGTGGTGGCCTGGTCCTTAAGCCCAAGACCCTGATGGGAAGCTCAAGCCTGTCTGCTCAGCCTGTCTGTGGACAGCAAGGGGTCCCTCAGGGCCAGGAAAAGGCTGCAGAGAGACTGTCGGCTGAGGGAGGGGCTCCAGGAAGGAGCAGGAGGAAGAGCCGAGGGTGGGGGGAGAGAGGGGTCTCTGGTGGTGTAATCTACTAGAACCTGAAGCTAAAGATTTGGTTGGTTAGCTCTAGTCTGTGGGTGTTAGGAACCCACCATTGCTCTCCCCCCAGCTTCTGCCTTTCTGCCCGGATCGCACCCACCCCCGCTCTAGTCCCCCGCTGCCTCCATGCCAGGCTGTGCCCATATCTCTTTGCCCTCCAGTGCTGTCCTTGAGCCCCCTTGCCTCTGGGCTGCCTCTCCCTGAACATCCCCATATTGAGACTGATTTGGGATGGGGGTGGAAGGAGGGAGAAGGGCTGGGGGGATGGGATCTCCCTCCCCAGGATCCTGATTCCTGTGTTTCCTCCCTTTTCCAGCAAATGACCAGGGGTCCGCCAGCTCCGCCAGGGGTAAGTGGGGGTGCAGGTGGGGGCAAAGTGGGGCTCTTGCAGAAGACTCCGTGGGGAACATCCCCAAATGGTGAAAAGCTGTTACCCCCCCCCCTTGGGGTTTCAAAGCGTGAAATAATCTGCAGTGTCCATTGAGCTGAAAATCGCTCTTGTGACTCATTCCATGTGTCCATCTGACCTCCACAGAGGATCCCCTCCACCTGACAAATGGGTTCTACGCAGGATCTGAATGAGAGATCTTGGAAGCGGTTCCGGAAGGGATTTTTCCTTCCAGTAGGACTGCTTTGTGTCCTTGTGGTATTCCCCCATAGTGTGCAGCTTGGCTCACTTGCTGGAGCTGCCCTCTGCAGGCCCATTTTGGTGGTGCTCCTGGCATATTTCATGTCTGATTTGACATGATGAGGGATGGTGGCTTCCCTTGGGAGGCTGGACTAGATTTCCTTTGGGTTCGCACTAGCTCTGTAATGCTGATGCCCCCACACCATGATGTTGGCTTAACTTTGAAACACTCGTTCTTTATTTCTGCAGTTTCATACCAGCCCAGTGTGTGAGATGAGACCAGAAGGAGCCTGCCCAAGTTTGGCTGTGAATTGCAGAGGCTCAGAGCTCCTGCTGTTCTTTAATGCTGTTTCGGATGTTCCTTAATCCTGGCTCTCACCCATCCATTCTGACTCCAGCTGTAACTTGAATTTGAGGGTAATCATGCTTTTCTGATGGATTATGGCCAATTTTGCTTTGCAGAAATATGCTTGTATTAATCAGAAATCTTCCAGATATATGCAACTAAAAGCTTTTAAAATTAATGAGGAGACTAATGTCTCACAACAAATGGAACTAATCTGTACAAAACACAACTTGAAATGAGACATTGCACATATTTTTGTAAACTAAGAAATCTTTAATAGAAATACATTTTAAAAATTATAATATAAAAAGGGGATGAGGAGATTGACAACCACTTGCAGTGATTTTGATGGTATCTCTTGGTTCTTTGTTGCTGTGGTTCCCTCCACAAGCCCTTCTCAATCTTATGTCACTCACTTTCCATCCAAATTGAAGGAAAGGCAACATTTGAGAACTGTTTTAGGTGTATTATGCGTGAAATAGGCTAAATTGTTACTGCCGACCTGCCTCTTGGGCTGCCCAGCCTTTGGCTAAACCGATGTCATGTCATGGAATGTATAAAAGCAGTCTAACTGCTCTGGCTGAGTGTTTTCAACCCACTTTCTGCATGAGGAAGTGAAGAAACTGGCAGGGAGGGATGGTTGGCAGGGAGGAGGGATGCTTAGATGCTCAGGAGTTGAAGCTGAAAGAGAAGGAACTGAGTGGCTGAAGACTAGAGAGGCTGTCAGAATTGGATCCGATTCTAATCTGGAAGCTTGCAAGTTTGCCTCAGAAGATGAAGGACAGACGTTGGCCATTGATCCCGTAGAAGCCAAGGAGGACATCATCTCCAGTTACAACATCTGGATGTGGAGGGGTTTTGTCTGTGTTGACCAAGAGCCCAGATGGGAGGGACGTCCACCACCAGCCCTCTTGGGTCACCTCCTGCATCCCCAGAACCTCACTGTCCTGTCTGACTAGATCCAGAGTGGTCCAGAGGTGACCTCTGCTGGAGTTGAGGCCTCTCTTCAAACATCCTCAGGCAGAGCAGAGAATGA